ACAGGGCTACGAGTGCAGCACCCCCTCGGAGACAAACTGCTCCTTTGACCCCTCAGAGGAGACGTCCTCGGGCGCTGTCCCTGTGCCCTGCCCACGCCACACTGTCACCCCCTCTGAGCCGGAGCTCTTTGCTTTGCCACCCGCGGGACCAGGACTGGCAGAGAAGCAGGAGACGTTGCAGAACTCTGGTGAGACAATAACCATGGACTTCACTCTCCCTGCAGACATTAACGAGGGGTTGCCTTTAATTGCTGGCCCTGTGGATTTGGACAGAGACCCTGAGGCAGTGGTGGCCCCTGCGCAAGTGTCCTTATCGGTCACAGATTTCGGTCTCATTGGCATTGGAGATGTAAATACTTTCCTGACTGCTCATCAGGCTTGCCCAGCACCTGTGGCTCGGTCAGAGCCTCTGTCACAGTGAGAGTCTCCAGTCACAAATTTGTCACAGACCCAGCAAGGACTTTGACCTGACTGAGTGAAATTCTGGAACTTCCACTGTCCTGTAGGGACAGTTTGGAGCTGTTGGTCGGAATCCGTCTTTCCATCCTCCTTGATCCAAGGCTACAGTGAAACCAAACACCTTTCTGCTCCAGTGTATCCTGACACAATCGTGCAAAGTGGTGGCTGGCTTTCCTGAGTGGGGAGGTCCAGCACTCCCCTCCTACGTTGACCATGTGTCACCCCAGGTGATGCCAGTCCGCTCAGAGAGTCCCTGCCTCGGGACAGGGGACATGTCCCTTGGCCCCAGTGGGACAATCTGAGGGCAGAGGTGCTTTGAGAAGAGGGATGTGTCACCATCATGGTGAGGGTGCAGGCTGGGGGTCTGAGAGTTTGGGAGGGCTGCAGGGCAAACCTGCAGAGGCGGGCACGGCAATGCCAAGAGAGGCTGATCAGTCTTGGCCCTTCTCCCACGGGCAGTGTGTTGCAGTAGGAGCCACTCACCCTGTCCTTCTCCCAGCAGCCACAGGTCATGACAGGCAGGCACACAGCTGCTCTCCCCTTCAGCAGCCACTTGCTCCTGACTCTCCACCAGCTGCAGGTGGGACATGGCCCAGCCCAGCCCTTGGGCAGAATGTCAGGTCTTGGAAAGGGATGCTGCGTGTGCAGCAGCGTCGTGTGCACTTGAGTCCTTCTTGCCTTCCTGTGCAGTGCTGGGCCAGGGAGAACTTGTGTAGGGAGTAACAGGAGTTTGTAGACTAACAGAGTGATGCTGGCTCAGAGCCGTGGTGCTGCTGCTGGCAGGGGGATGACCTGATCTTCACTGAGCTGCAATGTGAGAGGGTAAAATGTGAGTGAAAACATCTGTAACATCCCAGTTTGTCCCAAGCAGAGGGAGGAGGTTGCTTAGCTCCCAGGGTGTGAGGCCTGGGATATGGGTGCTAGCTCAGTCCCAGGCAGGGGAGCACAGCATCCCCAGGCATCCCTGCCCCTCCCTGTGTCACAAAACAGGCTGTTCTGAGAGGAAAGTGTGTCTTTTCTGCCATGTTCAGGGAGGTGCCAGGTGCTGTGCAGAGCCGCGGGAGCCTGTCCTTGGGTGTGCTGGAGTCCAAAGCTGCTTCACTTCCCAGGTGTGTTCCAGGTCTGGGATTGGCCACTGGCTCAATGTGTTCTCATTCCCCTTTTTCCATGCAGAGAATGCTCTCCACTCACCTGCTGGGCAAGGCTCTGGTGCAGACAGTCCTTTCCTCCAGCTGTGTTCTGCAGCTGGAAAGGGGCTTGGTTTGAGGGTTTTTGCTTGCTTTGGTAGAGGCCTTGGGGCTGTGATTGTGCACTCGGCTCTGCTGCCACTGGATTTGGCAGGTACCTAAACCCATGAGCCTGCATCCTCCTTTTACCTGGCCCTGGGAAGTTGTGCCAAGCCCTGCAGCTGCATCAAACAGCCCCATGGGATGTCAGGATTAGACCTTGTCTCATCTCCTAAGCCCCAGATCTGGTTTGTGTGCTTTAGTAGGGGTTTGCTTCGGTCCCCAGCTCTGTACTGGCAGGTCCTGAGCCCCAGGCATGTGCAGCTGCCTTCACCTGGCATGGCTTTGTCAGCCAGATGTGGTGGGCAGAGGCCTTCCCTCCAGTTGCTCCTGGCTGCTGGGAACAGAAAGCAAACACGAGTGCCCGCTCCATAGTGGAACTGCCCAGGCTATGATTCCCCTTTTCTGGGGGTGAGAGGAAGCTCCTTGGCTGAAGGGAGAAGAGAGGAGAGGCAGGGTGAGAGCACAGGCAGCCCTCCCAGGGAGGGCCAGGCCTTGGCATCTCCTCCATCTGCTGAGAACATTCTTAGTTTTCCTAAAACCATGTTTTCTTTTGGTTTATTTCAAGCCCTAGTGAAAGGAGAGGGGAGCTGGCTGAGGCAGAAATCTCTTTATGTCCTTCAGTGTTGTTTACAGATTTGCATGGGGTCTTTCAACATGAGTGCAGCGCTTTTTCCACATAACTTTGAGGGAGAGGGGTGAAAAAGGCTGGGACAGGGAGGGGGATTCGCTGGGGGAGGAGGTTTGATTCTGTTTTTTTTTGTTGGAGTTTTCTTTTTTCCTTCTTACAAAGCACATTCACTTTGAGCCACTCCCAATGCTGGACTCTTTTCTCCCTTGCCCCCCAGCCCTACACTGTGAAGTGACACTGCCTTGAAGACCCCTCGCCGTTATTTATTTAATTAAAAACCTAATTTGAAAGTGAGCCAGAAATCTGTCTTCTTTTTGGAGGCCAAGATACAACAGCCCAGTGTGTAATGATGGCGAAGCAAGAATGGGGGTTCGTGGTCCTCTCCTGCCCTCCCCACACAGTCTCCTCCAGGCAGGGCAGGATTCCCTGTGCCAGAGATGCCATCCCAGCTGAGGAGGAGGCCTAGCGTTTTTCCCTTCCAGTGCTGCAGATGGAGGGAGCTGTTTGTTCCTCTTACAGGTGCCCCAAGTCCTCTAAAACCTTGGCAGCCTGTGAAAGGTCTGGGGTGTTGAGAGACACGGTTACACCCAAACTTCAACCAGAAAAAACTCCTGGAGGCAAGAGGAGTGTTCCTGTTGCAACTGCATCCCCATCACACAATCTCTGTTCCATCACAGACTCCTTAAATTCTCTTCTGCTTGTGCCTGGCTCTGGCTGCCTGTCCGGGGCCCTGAGGGCTCCAGCTGTGCAGCCCCTCAGCTCTGCCCCTCAGAGTTGGGTACGAGGGTGGGCACAGCCCAGGGCAGGAGGGACAGGAGTGAGTTCCCCCCATCTTCGAGGCCTCGACGAGCAGCAGGAACCGCGGGTGTGCTTGAAGCCTTCAGCTGGGACCGCGGTCCCTCTCCTCCGTTGCATCCTTTGATACGAAACGCTGGTTTCGGCTCTGTGTGACCCGAGCGCTGTTTCCGAGGCGGTGAGAGCAGCGGGACCGGATCCCCCGGGCTCTGCAGACCCCCGGGGGGGCGGGGTCCAGGCCGGGTTCTGCATCCCCGGGTTCCCGGGGTGGCTCCGGGCCGGGTTCTGCGCCCCCCGGGTTCCTGGGGTGGCTCCGGGCCG